TGGGGCAGGAACTGGGGTGGCTTCCTACCAGACAGAGGTGCTCACAGGGGTCGTTGTTGCTGTGCCAAGACCTCCCCTGTCCCAGGGCTGACTGGCAAACATACCTGAGTCCCCATCAGCCTGGAGCACACTGTTTTCTCTGCCCTGGTGATTCCCTGAGATCCTGCCCCATCCAATTTGCAGCCCCACCCAAGCTGTTTGCAGCAGCTTTTCCATATGAATGGCCTGTCCTGGCTCAAACTTCAGACTTTGCTAAAATCTCTCAAACAAGCTGCAGCTGATGTCAGCATGCCCCAAACCTATTGATAAAAGGCCCAAGACCTGGCACCAGCACCAGCCTGCCTTGCTTCACAGCTGGGCCTCACCTGGGAACTTCCAAACCCTACTGAACAACAGTAGGCTTGGTGGCAATTACTCCATTATAACAAATACAAAGGCACATATTAGAATAGGAATAAGATCTTATTACAATTCCTGAGGTTGTGTGATAAAAACAGTGGAGTTGAACTCTAAAGACTTGGAATTGAATCAAAGGTCTTCCACCTCTTGTGGACTTTGGCAAATTACTATTCATCTTTGAGTCTTTTTCCTCATCTATAGCATGAGGTTAAGAATTCCAACTTCACAAGATCATGAGTAAATTAAATGTACATGCACTTATTCTGGCCTAGAGAGTTAATAGTATATTTGCTCACTTTTTCCCCACTCATTCATCCATCCATTCATTCAAATACATCCATAAGGCAACAGGATAAACTAGAGATACTGTGAAATACAAAGGAGTATTTCTTTTGCAAACTTTTGTTAAATAATACTTTTTCTTCAAGTGGCTAACCCCTTAGGACCAATATATTATCACTTCAGGGGAGGTGATCATTTGCTAGTTTTTGCTTGGGGCATAAGCACACTCTTAGGCCAAACCTGCCTTGCAATTTATGAAGAACACAGACACACAGTTTTGTACATTTGCCTAATTGTGAGGGCATGTACTCTAATTCTAGTTCCAGCTTTAATTTACCACATACTATAGACCCTGTGTTCTAGAAGAAAGATAGTAGAGAATACCTTAGAGAAAGGGCTGCAGCCAGGAATCTCAGGTTCCATTTCTGGTTATTACTATCTCTACCAGACTTCTAATGAGGCATATAACCTCAGTCTCTCTAAGCTTTATTATTATTTACTACATAAAACTTATGTAATAAGATCTGCCTCTCAAAAATGGTGTAACACTTAATTGTTATTTGTAACAAAATTTGAAGTACACAGACAGATGTTTTTAAAGAAATGCAAAGTACTCTATTAGCTTATGAGTATCTCTATACTTTTTGCTAAAATTTAATTTTAAATTAAATTTATATGAAAGTTTAATTTTCTTATCTTATGCTTGGTAAGACAACAAAAACATTTTAAAAAACAAAGCAAAAAATGCTGCATTAAAACAAACTTAATAAACAAAATGACAAAAAGTAATTTCTTTCCACTTAGTTTTTGAAACAGTGTTTTAATTACATTATACAAGAATTTTTTTTGGTGTCATACCATGTAAGGTGACCAACCATCCCAATTTGCCTCTGATTTCCCAGTTTTACCACTGGAAATTCTACATCCCGGGAAACCTGTGTTCTGTGCCAACTGGAATGGTCAGTCACTCTGTGCCCTACCATTACTAAAGGCTTTTCCAAAGCTTACAACTCTATTAGCTGCCCTTAGAAAAATTCCAGTGCTATTTTAATTTCTATTTATCTGAAAAGCACTTTCATATTCTTTCTGTTGGAATTTTGTTCATAACTATTTGGTGAGCATAACCATTTATGGAATTTTCCTTCATGAGTAGATATTTAATAAACATGTACTAATATTTTTTTACGCTATTAGTACATGGGGACAATGGGAGTACCTAATTACCAACAATGATTCTTTTGGCACCAAGGAAATATGACCTTGCCTTTCTGTTTTCAAGGGCCTTGTCCTGTTGTTGTTTACAGACTACTCTACTTCTACCCCGTAATCACCATAGCTGAGAAAGCAATAACACAGGCAATGCCTTTAAAATCAAGTCATTTAGAAAAACATTGTATGTGGGTCAGTCGTAGGCCAATAGAAAGAAGTTTGGGCGAGAGAGAAGTTGTTATACTGGTTTCCTTAAACAGCACTATAACCTAACCTGATTCTAAGATAATTTACAAAATATCAATGGAATGAGTGTTGATGAAAAAGTTTGGTGATGAAGTTTTATCCATGAATAGGAGACCCCAAAATTCAGAAGCATTATGATATTTCCCATGACATTGACCAAAAAAAGAAGTCATGAGATAATGGAAAAGGTTTCTGAGAAAAAAGCAGACCCATTTCCCCCTAGAAAATGGGGATGACACAGGCTATGTAAATACATACATGATTAAAATAAAATCCATTGAAAGGTTATAAATCTAATTGGCTATAGTTTTTCCCATAAGATGCAAGATGATATATGACTTTTTTTTATAGTTCTAGTTTTTTGAGCACTTAACTATGTGCCAAATGCTTTAAATGCAAAGAATCCTATCAGAAGAGGAATTATAATCCTCTAAAGCAGCAGTTCTCAACCTGTGGGTCGCAACCCCTTTGGGGGTCGAACGACTGACCCTTTCACAGGCGTCGCCTAAGACCATCGGAAAACACATATATAATTACATATTGTTTTTGTGATTAATCACTATGCTTTAATTATGTTCAATTTGTAACAATGAAATTGGGGATCACCGCAACATGAGGAACTGTATTAAAGGGTCGCGGCATTAGGAAGGTTGAGAACCACTGCCTAAAGTGAAGCTCAGAGAGGTTCAGTAATTTGCTCAAGGTTATAGGCAGCAACTGGAGGAGCACAGGCAAATTCAACTCTGTTTTCTTCAAAGCATAAGCTCTTAACCTTTTTAGCCTATGCTGCTTCTCAACATTGTTGACGTAAATTCTACTAAAATTCTATTTCCAACCCTAACTTCTCCTGACCTTCAGTTTTGTACATTAGTGTATAGAACTGCCTATTCAACACCTCTACCTTAATGTCTAAAAATCATCTCAAGTTTAATATATTTCAGTAAATGACACCATCATTTACCCAGTTGTTCAAGCTTCAAATCTAGCAGGCATCCTTGATTCTTCTATCAAACCCACAGTCAAGCCATCAGCAAATCTGTTGGCTCTACCTTTAAACTATATCTGTATCTAACCACTTCTCATCTTCATTATCAAAACCCTAGCCCAGGCCATTATCACTGTTCACCTGGACTACTGAGATAGCCTCTTAACTGATCTCTGCTTTCATAGTCCATTCTCTACAAAGCAGCCATAGGTGTTTTTTTAAAATAAACACACTCACAGATCATACTGTTCCATTCTTCTGCTTAAAACTCTTCGATGCTTCCCACTTCCATGACATAACTTAAGATGGTCTACAAGGCCCTACTGACCCTCTGCCTTGATCTGCTTCTCTCACCATAATCCTTAACTGTCTTCTTTGCTTAGCATGCTTCAGTCACATTGGTCCTTATGATTTCAAATTTCTCTGTGATGTAAAGCCAATTATATTGAGAGGATTTGGATAAGAAAGGTTGGGGTTTTGAGAAAACTGGTGGTTTGAAAGAATTGACTAAATTGAGAGAACAATTCAGAAAAGTTTAACAGTATTGCTGGGTGGTGTTGAGAATTCACTGTGCTTCGTGACTGGATGCTCAGTTGATTGCAGCATTGTCACATACAACAAAAGGTTGTGGGTTCCACTTTCGGTAAGGGCTAGGTTTCAGGTTTGATCCCAGGTTGGAGTGTGCATGGGAGGCAACTGATTGATTTTTCTCTTTCTCCCCAACCCCTTCCTTTCTCTCTAAAAATCAATAAAAACATATCCTCGGGTCAGGATTTAAAAAAATAGAATGCACGTTGTTATACAAATTTTTCCAGTGGTGGTCAGCTGCTCCAGTACCAAAGGCAGATGACATGAATAGTAGGGTTCATTCAAAGTAGGGGTACGATGAAAAAAAAAAGATAGGGCAAAGGGGTTTAGAGTACTGACAAGTGTTACTGATTTTTTTCTGTAGGTATATAACAATGGGGATGGGATGGAGAAGAGGGTTGCTAGTGTTCTTAGCTTGCCCCAGTTGTGGCAGCAACATAAGGTTGCTAAGAATCAGAGGACCTTCTAGCATCCATTAACACTGGGCTCACACAGCACATTTCCAGATAAGAGAGAAGCGCTATCTCTCTGCTTTATTTGGTCCCTGTAGATATTTCTACTCTTGCCTGACTTGTGTTGTACTAAAATGCATTTCATATACTGTCGTATTTAATACAGATTATGCATTATAAAGCATTTTTATGATTGATATTTTAGGTCATGCAGAAGCTAATAGGGCAAGTGTTCTGTGGCCTTGGTTAAGTCCCTTTCCAAAGGGGATGGTATACTGTGGCTCCATGAAGATGAGAATATACATAAAGTCCTTATTCAGAGCTCAATTAATTGGTGCTTTTTGGGCGGAGTTTAGGGAAAGTTTCTTTAAAATGATGTCACTATAGGCGACTTTAAAACCACTGCAGGTCGGTACCAGTGTACGTAATCAAACTACTTAAAATGAGGTTCACCTGTCACAGTTTAGAGGTTCTGCATAAAATAGATTTCCACTCAGTAGCCTGGGTAACCGGAATTTTGGCTCAACAGCAGAGATCTTCCCAGAATAACTCGGGGGTGGAGGGGGCCGGATCCCTAAGGCCTGCGCCAAAATATACCCCAGGGCGGTCCTGGGGCTCTCACAGCGACGGGGAGCCTACTGCCGCGTCAAGTACAGGGACCACTGGTCTCCCCACGCCAAGCGACCGCTGCTGGAACCACGAAGGCGAGTTTGGCGGTGCCGCGTTCCCAGGGCCAGGCCGGGCCGTGGGGTCTCCCTTAATTCCACGCAGGGGCGGAGGGGCGGGCACGGTGACGCCAAGGCTAGTGACGCGAATACGCAGCGCGACGCGATGACGCACGCCCCTTTGTTGGCTCAGTAGAGGTAGCAGCGGCCGTGGAGGTGGCGCTGGGGACTCTTTTCTCTTGGAGGCCGGAGTGGAGCCGCGTCTGACTGAGGCGGGCGGCGAGCGGCCCCCTCGCTCCCTCCCTCTCTCCTCCGCGACCTCCCCGCCGCCGCCGCCGCCGCCTGCCGCCAACTGCCAACCGCCGCGCCCGGGAGGAGCCGCGGCCCGCGGGCCGGAGCCAGGCCTGCGACCGGACCTCAGCCGGAGCGGGAGCCGGGGCCTGGGCGTCCCCGCCCTCTCTCCGCCTCAGGACCTGCGTCTGCCGGGCCTCCGCGCGTCGCGCCATGGACTCAGACGAGGGCTACAACTACGAGTTCGACGAGGACGAAGAGTGCAGCGAGGAGGACAGCGGCGCCGAGGAGGAGGACGAGGACGAGCCGGATGACGATAACCTGGATCTGGGCGAGGTGGAGCTGGTGGAGCCCGGGCTGGGCGTCGGCGGGGAGCGGGACGGACTGCTGTGCGGGGAGACGGGCGGCGGCGGCGGCAGCGCTCTCGGGTCCGGCGGTGGCGGCGGCGGCGGCGGTGGCGGCGGCGGGCCGGGGCACGAGCAGGAGGAGGATTACCGCTACGAGGTGCTCACGGCCGAGCAGATCCTGCACCACATGGTGGAATGTATCCGGGAGGTCAACGAGGTCATCCAGGTGAGGGTGGCCGCCGAGCTGGCTTGACCGGCCTGGACCGGGGAGCAGATTCGGGCGGCCCGCGTGGCCCCGAGGGGCAGGCCTGGGCCTGGTGCGCAGCCCAGCCCGATGCCTCCCCGCCCTTGTCTCCTCCGCTGCCGCTGCTGGGGACGGGGTGTCGAAAGCAGACGTTCGCCGGTTCGCCGGGTGTGGGGCGATGCGTTGGGGGCGGTACTTTCCAGGTCCTGCTATGGCGGAGGCCTCCGGCCGCCTGAGACTTCTCTTGCGGGCAATTTCTGCCCGTCCGCGGGCCCGGTGTCCTTCCTCTGGCCGGAGGAGCGCCTACGAGGGCGAGGCGGAGGGTGGTGGTGGAGAAGAGCAGGGAAAATTAGGCTCGTCAGAGGGTTGCTTCGGCCTTCAGCCTCACTTGAGCACTTTTGGAAGGAGTTAGAGTAGGCCTAAGAGCAGTTTGGTATACGGTTGCCCCAAGAGGGCATCAGTTAATAAAGAAATGGATCTGCTTGGCAGTCTTAAGTGCATATTAAAGATGGGGGAAGGGAACTGTTTCTCGGAAGAGCTGCTGATGGGCCTTTTCCGATGGTGAGGCTCTTGCTTACATCCTTTTTACTTCTTTGCTGTTTGTTTGGGACCTGCTACTTTCCGCAGTAGTGGTGTATGACTTAACTTGAAGCTGTTGGGAGAGTTAGTGCAGATTGCATACCCAGCCTTGCAGATAAAACAACAACAAAACGCAATGTTATTGTCTGATATTGGACAAGACTCTATTGTGATTTAGAAAGTAGAGGCTTTTTGCTTCTGGACTCCTTTCTATTTCGTGGTCAGTAAGTTAGGCTTGGTTTAACTTGATAACCACATTTTATGTAACCTTGTGCATTTTTGAATTTTAGGAAATAAGTTTTATTATGAGGGCTCAGGTATACATTGAAGAATAAAAAGTCTCTATTCAATGCAACTTTTAGAAAACACAGGTTACATGGAAGGAAACTACTTCCATGTAAGTAGCAGCAAGTAACTATTGCCTTCTTGTGATGTCAGTCATTACATTTTTTACCTTAAAATCGGTTGGCTGATATTCACTGGCAAATTAGCAGTATGTTACTGCCTACTTACTGAGTTTGCACAATTAACAGATTTTTTACAGTATCGTCTAGTAAGCAAAACTTTCTTTTGAGAATTGAATCATCTATTTAGGCTCATTGGAAGGCAGTGTTTTGAGTTATAGTAAAAAATAAATCTGATGTCTGGTGCTATTGCTAACCAGTGGAAATCTCAAACTTTCATATAGATAATGCAGTCTAAGGAGGAATTTGAAGGGTTGTAGAAGAAAGATAAGTTTTACTGCTCTTTTTCTGGTTCCCAAAATATGACAGTTGACTTCTTAAGTCACTACATTGAGATTTTTTTCTTTTCTTTTTTTGAGGAAACTTTATCAAAAGAATTCACAGTAAAACGTTGAATTTTGTTTTCATTATTTGCAATTATATGAAATCTGACGTTTCAAACATGTTACCTAGCTTATTGGCATTTCAGTTAGCTTTAAAAACTCATGGTTATTTTACTTTTTAACTTATGGTCTGTGTTCATGTAGTTAAATCTCATCCAACTTTCTCAGCTTTTGGGTGTGTTTTAATCACTGAGGTCAAACCTTGCAAGTTCTTTATGGCATTTCTGGAACAGACATGTAGGTAATGCACTCCACATCATTCATTCTTTTTTAAATAGAATTCCTGAATATGTAAATATTATTCCTTGTAAAAAGTTCATATTTAGAAATATCAGTAAATCAAAGGATAGGATTTTACTCCAGACCATCTTTTCTCCAAATGGTATACTTACTATATCTAGACTAGGCTCTGGCTATGTTATAGGTTATTTATGTTAATAGATTTAAACTTGAAAAGTTACACAGATAATACATGTGCACTATAAGGAAAAACTGGGCAAGAAAAAAACACCCAGAGAGACACATCAAAATTTGTAACTGGTTCTTTCTAGACCCTCTGGGAAAGCTGTACATGTTTTTAATAATGGAATGGTACTATATATGTTTATGTTTTCAGTAGGAAAAAAACTGAAGGTATCTCAACTTTCTCCTGTCAGTAAATATTTTTCAAGTGCTCACATGATCACAGATTTAAACTAATTTATCTAATCAATCTATTATTATTGACCTCCCTTTTTTATTGTCTAATTTCTGGCTTTTATAAACCTCATTGGGAATACCTGTCATAGATTAAATCTTTGAATATTTCCTTAGAATAAATTGATTTGCTAAGCCAAAGGATTTGCTTATTTTCAAGACATATGAAACATTACCATATTACTTTTAGAAAGGTTATGCTAGTTTCCCCCACCAGTTGGTGCTTTATGGGTTTAAAATGGTCATCATTTATAAAATTTACTTAAAAAAACAAACAAACTGATCAGGTTGAACTTTTAACATGTTTATTGGGCATTGGTGTCTCTTTTGTAAATTGCCCTTCGCGTTTGCTCACTTTATCCCCTTTTGGGATATTTTTTATTTATAAGACCTCTTTATATTCATAGAGGCTTTAATTATCAGACTAGTTTTTTCAGTTAAAAAAACTAATGTTGGTTTAATGTAACAAGTTTTAAGTTTATTAAGTTAAAAAACTTTGTTTTACTTATTTCAAATTAGAGAGCTTACTGTTAATTCTAAAAAATTTAAATCTGTCCAGCCAGTGTGGCGTAAGTGCACCAAGAGTTCCCCAGTTCAATTCCCGGTTAGGGTACATGCCTGGGTTTCAGGCTTGATCCCAGTGAGGAGGCAGTCAATCAGTGTTGATGTTCTCTCTCATCGGATGTTTCTCTCTCTACCTCTGCCTTCCTTTCTCTCTAAAATCAATGAAAACATATTAAAGCCTTGGCCAATGTGGTTGCGCATTAGCCTGTGCACCAAAGGGTCTCAGGTTCTATTCCCCGTTAAAATCGTCAAGGGCATGTACCTCAGCTTCGGGTTTGCTCCCTGCCCCTGGTTGGGGTGCCTGCGGGGCACAACCAGTCCATGTGTTTCTCACATTGATGTTTCTCCCTCTCTCCCTTTTATTCCCCCTGCCCAGTGTTCCTTCCCTGTCACTCTCTTTGAAAAGCAACGGGAAAAATACCCTCAGGTGAGGATTGACAGAAAAATATATCTTTAAAAAACCATATTAAATTCCCTGCCCCAGTGTTATTTTTCAATATGAAATCAGGTATATTATTAGTGAATTTGAAAATTAATTTGTAGGAGCCTTGCCGGTGTGGCTCAGTGGTTGAACGTCAACCTATGAACCAGTAGGTCACAGTTTGATTCCTGGTCAGGGCACATTCCTGGGTATAGAGCCCCAGTCCCAGTGGAGGTGTGCAGGAGGCAGCAGATCAATGATTCTCTCTCACCATTGATTTTTCTCTCCTTCTCCCTTCCTCTGAAATCAATTTAAAAAGTGTGTGTGTGTGTGTGTGTGTGTGTGTACTTTTTTTTTTTTCAGGAGGAAATGATTGAAATGTAAAAAGGTCATCAAGTTGCTCTTTCCTTGGGAATTTGTTTACTTTTTCTGGAAAAAGTAGTTCAGCCAATAACAGATACTTACTGTTATTTGTGGTTATAAGTCAACACTTTTTCTTTTAGAAAATTTGATTTTCTGACTTTCTGTAAGTCTCATTATAGTTTAATTTGGTCTTGTTTTATTTAAATTCTAGCTTACTTTTTGAACTTTTAAGAAAAGATTAAGGATTTTCTTTAGCTTTAACCTATACCAATGATGGAGAAATGCATAAAGCCCTTACTTACCCAACTGTATTAATTAGTATTGCTAATACTAAAAAGTAAGGTGTTGTGGTTTTTTTTTATGTAATTGCCTCATTAGCTAGGTAATTAATTAAACGCTGCTCAATTCTGCAACTGAGGAATGTTTAAACTTGCCATTTTGTGTTTCCACAACAGTGTTCAGCAAATGTTGATTGTGCCTTGTGTTCCAGTTGCCATGTCAAGTAGAGGGCACAGTTTTTGCCCCAGGAGCATTCCCAGAGATTGTTGTGCATATGTTAAGTCTGAGTTGGAGCCTGAACATCCATATATTTTTAGCCACTGCAGTGATAAATCTGAACCACTAGAATAGTCACAGTTCATGCACTGTCATGGTTTTGATCTCAGGGAGAATGAGTAGAGAGAGAAGGTCAATAACTCTTAACAATACCACATTTAAAGGGTATACTGAGAAAGAGGGGCATGGGACAATTTATTATGCTTAATAACCAGTTTTAAAAACAAAAGTAATAACCTAATGTTTGGCAGGACAATTTTCTACTGGATGGTGATATTTTACATATTTGTTTAATTAAAAGATTTACTTTAAAGAACTTGTAGTAAAGTCAGGTTTCAGGCATAAATTGAGAGGTACTTTATTCCAGCATATTTTATACTGGCTGGGAGTCAAGTTCTAGCCCTGGCTTTTCTTCTGACAAGTTAATTTACATCTCAACCTTCAGTTTTGCTTTTTTTGTTATTTGTTTTTGTTGTTTTTTAAATCTGGGACTTTAAAACAAGAGAGTTGAACTACTAGATTAATCTTTTTTACATTAATGTTTTGTTTAACATCCTTAATTGGAGATGCACATTGTTTCCAAAAAGTTGAACTCTAGTGTGCATACCAAGATGAACTTACCTTAGTTAATTTGTTTGGGTGGAGTATAGGGGGCAAAAGAGGGAGAGGAAGAGGAGAAAGAGAGTGTGGGTTTGTGTTTTGAAGCTCTTAAGGTGTTGGGTATGGTTTACTCCTATTGAACTTTTTTCATCTTTTTCTAACCTGTCTTTTTGAGCTATAACTTTTAAATTATATTCTTGTTGAGTCAGAAACTCTGGGGGTGGGGTCCAACAGTCTGCTTTAACAAGCAATCCAGGTGATGCTAATGCAAGCTAAAGTTTGAGAACCAATGATATAGTTGAAATTTAATGGCAGTGTTTCTCGTTGTTTTAACTTGCTGTAAATTACTACAGAGGT